CCATTGTGCAGCTGAGCTCTTGATGTGTTCTTTATCAGACTGGAAATAATCTGCTATGATCAAGATAAAGCCCATTAGCTAGCAGCGTAATGGAGCTAAGTAAAAGCACTGGTGTGCACCCTCTCAAGGATCCTGGTAGACATGTACATGGTGAACTGAGACAGATAACATTGTGAAGCTCCATCTCCCACGACATGCACCTGTCAGCAGCAAGGCAGAAAGTGTCAGGTTAAAGGAGTTCTCAGAGTAACTTGTCTTAGGCAAACCATAAAATCATAAAGAGTGCCCTCAAATGTGGTAAGTATTACCCGAAAAAAAATGTGAAAGTAGATTTTACAATGTAGCTGAATTTTAGAATACAAAGTATAATTTTGTATTTAAGCCCTCAACTGAAACTGGCAGAAATTGTTTTGTTGTTAATCTTTTTGTTCTATCTCCTTCCCTTCCCTTCCCTCCCCTCCCCTCCCTTCCCTTCCCTTCCCAAATGTAATTCTTTTTTAAATGTCATTTTTTTCCACCATGTGCTCAAATGATCAATGGTGGATGCCCACTCAGGTTTAAGATGACTTGTCTGTACACTTCCCTTGTGGCAGGAGGAACCGTCTCCTGGTGTCTGTTCCATTGTTGTGTGAACTCTGAGACACTGAAGGAATTGCTTTCTGTTTAGGTTGCTGACTGTACATGTGGGTGCATATGGTGGCCTGGGCATGGCATGGACACAAGTGTGGACTTGCCCATCACTGTCCTCTGCAGTGCTTTTGTCCTGTGTTTTTCTTTCATGATCCAGAATCACCGTTTGTCAGTCATTCATGTTCGGCATTATTTTCTCCTTTTATTTTTCCCCTGCCATTTTCTTATTTCCTTATCTGTTGTTCAGGTTCCTGGAATAACCAGTGTCTGGCCAAGGACGCCTTTCCGACCACTTTTTTCTACCATACAAACAGCTTCTCTGCTCAGCTCTCACCCTTTTGAAGCAGCCATGTTGGGGTTAGCAGGGGCTATGTATTACTTGTGTGAGAGAGCTTTTACCAGCAGGTGGAGATCCTCAAAGGTTGGCCTCTTTCTGCTGGTTCTTGGGGATTCTTTCACTCTCTGTCTCTTTGGCAGTGAGACTTCAACTGCAGCACTCTGTAAGAATTAACAGCTTAGATTGGCTCTTTGCTTGGAATTATTGATTCTGATCTTTTGTAGGATGCATAGATCCACTGGTCTCCCTTGAGAGGAAGTAACTTTGTAAGGACAACAAACTCACAATGCAGCATCAGTTGAGAGAGACCTGGGAGTGTTCATTTCTTGAGGAGCCTAGCTGTACCCAAACCCCCTCCCAAAGCTAATATTGCCAGCCTCCTGCCACCCTAGATGGCCGTCATTAGGGAGCTGTGTGCCCACAGGAAAGGTCAACCCTGGGTCCAAACAGGCTTTTTTGCTTCATCAGTGCCTTTCATAAAGATGTGTTGGGATTGTCAGGGTGTTTTATGGATTTTTTTTTAATACTTCTGTGGTTATTTAGAATATTTTCAATAATTTCGCATTATTGAGATTTGTATACAGGATAACTTTACTATTATTAAAATCTCCACATTTTGTAAAGATAGTATAATAATCTCTAAACCCTAGTGAAATGATACAAACACTTGGTCATCCTATAGTCCCTTCTGGCCCTCTGTCACAGATGCCAACATTATTCCCAGTTTGTTCACGGAACTCAGGGTCTTGGCTCGTTTGGGCCTTTATGTTAGTGTGTCCCCAGCACTGGGTCACCAGCGGATCTCTTAGTCACTCTGAAAGTAAATAAATTAATAAAATTTCTTTTACTGTTTGTTTGTCATGAAATACTGGGTAAATCTCTGCACATTCCTGTTTGGGATCTGGCTGTTTAGTCATACTGACCAGTGGCAGAGACAACCTTTTTACTTACCTCTCTGAGCAGAAACATTTGCTCACAAAGGCAAAGAAACAATTAATCTTGAGTCTTCAAATTGAACTTGAAGAAAGAAAAAAGTAATTAAATGTAATAATTACTATGTTATATAAGGAATTCTCATATACATACTATTTATTTATGATACTTCAAGAGAAAGATGGGAGTCTCCTCTTGTGTGATTTCTAGCTTTGGAAAAAACCCTTTGGAAGGTCGGCTAGAAGTCAGTTGCAACTCAGCAGTACATAACAATATTTATGATGTTGCTCATCAAGAACACTTTACATAAAAAGTGATTATTTACATTTCTCTCTGACTTGGTGACTGAACTGACACTTCTGAGTCTTTGTGCTCCCTAACTGAGCTGTTGTGAATAGCAAACTATAACCAGAATATCAACCAAAAACTCAGCAATTTTAAAACATAAAAAATAAGTTCTGAAAGCACTTTTTCTCCTAGAGCAAACTGTCCTTTTTGTTCTCTTAAGGTTCATTTTCCCTTTTCTTAGAAGCAAAGAGGGAGCCCTGATGGCACTTTGGCCACAGAGGCCATTTGTTTCCAGCCATGTGAATCCACCAACAGCTCTGAAGGAGAAGATGAGCAGTCTCCACCCATAATGATGTAGCCTAGGAAGCTCCATGGGTGTCACTGTGAGTCAGAGATGACTGGACAGCAATACGTTTGAGTTTCTGAAGAAACAGGGGCACAAATTGTGCTGAAATTCTGAGTCTTGTGCCCAAGTCCCATCCCCCAGGCCTTCAGGCTGGGATAGGGGCCAGGCTCAGCTAATCCACATTAGTGCATTTGGAGCATCCGTATCTCCGAAAGATGTTTGAGATATTGAATTAGCATTGAGGATATTGAATTAGTATTTTTGGGGGGGGTGTTGTCAGTCAAAAAAATACTATTTTAGAAAATATTTGCCATTTTCTTTCATGTTGCATTAAAGTTTTGTTGTCCTTGGGAAGTTTCAGAAATCAAACATTAGCATTTGACTTGATTTTCTTTTTAAGTTTTAGTAATAAGCAGTATTTTAAAAATTAAAACATTTAAAAAGCAAGAACTTTTTTTAAGTTATACTATATGATGTATGGAAGGAGGAGTGGCATCCACTTCCATAATAGCTTGCCTCCGGAAACCCTATGAACCTGGAGATAGGATGAAAGGCACCCAAGCATCGAGGACTCTCCTTCATAGGGTCGCTATGAGTCGCCTGCGACTCGACGGCGCTTAACAACAACAACAGCATATGATGTAATGAACTTTGAACATGGTTTAAAGCAGCAAATTAAAAGTATACTTGAAAATAAGAATTATCAGTTTTATTAAATGGGATAATAATATATTTTTACAAATAAAAAGGAGTTACTGTATACTTGAAATGTTTACTAGCCCCGTTATTCCAGTTTTAAAGTAAGCTGAGTTGGCACCATTTGCTGTCTTCCTGACATGCACAGCAAATCTCAAGTAGAGATTACATGGTTATTTGCTAAATTAATATGTTATTTTGTCACTTTGTCACATTGTCAGCCCTCATAAAATATGCCTTCATCACAACTGATTAAAGTAGGAGAAAAATGTCTTCTTACACAGCAGATAGAAGGCCGAGAAGTGCTGTCATTCAGCAATGTGCCGACACTGCTTTGGAACACAGTTTAAATGTTACAGCCGTCAAAAAGGGCTAAGGTTTTGTTCCTATGTGACACCACTGTCTTTCCTCAGGGTAGAGAAAAGCAGAGTGTGATGGCTGGATTTCATTTCTTTCATTTAATTTAGTTTTATAGTTTCTCAGAACAAATGGGAAAGACATGATCTTTCCTAACAAATCACCCTCCCCATCTGGCAAATACTAAGATCCCGAGGTAATAAATTACTTGCTAGATTTTTTTCCCAAAACCCAGTTTACATATTTCACATTTGTTTATTCCGTATGAGCAGAGACTGATTTATATTGAGTTTTTAGTAAGAAATTCTTGAAACTGTAATTTTTCATAAATTGACACATAGATCTATTTTTATGTCTTTGCATTAAAGACAGAACTGAATGTCACAACTCAGAAACTGGGTTGCATTCAGAATCCTGTACTTTCTCATTTGTCATGTTTAATATCTAGAAGTCCTGTGAGTGAGCACAGATTACTGTGTGCATGTGCAGAGAATCCCAGGACCAGGCAGTAGCACTCATGAGGCAGGAGTGGTGGGAATGCACAGGGACCTGCCCTTCTCTGAGATCTGCAAATTGCTCACAGACTGGGGTGAAGACCTCAAGTGCAGTCAGTTACATCAACATTTTCTTTGCATTTTTTAGGAAGCCATTAGCATAAGATTGCTAATACAGACATTTATTATTAAATTCTTCTGAGCTTCTCCTCATCTTTCTAATGTTGCAATAGTTATTCAAAAACAGTAGCAAAAATCTGGCTAATTGTGGGGACCAGTCTGTATATAATTTCCATTTCCATTTGGATGTGAACTACAATCATTAATGTTCACATTCCACCAAGACCTTTAGGATTTTTTCAAAATCTGATGATGTAACTGACCACTATAAAAAATAAGCTTCTCAGTATAAATTACTAACTTCTTCCGGCTATTCTGGGTACCCACAGACAGACTTTTTAAAAAGGTTGCCAATTTTACCAGTCTTGTAGATCTGTTATTTATCCATTAGCTTCTAATGTATAACAATATTAAATATTGTATTTTATGTAATCATAGAATAAATCTAATGAAAAATTGATTTGGAACAAAATTCTTCAATTTCAGTGTATAAATATGTAAGTGCACTTAAAGAAGAAAGTGAAGTATTTAAGCAAACACAGAGAACTTTTACTTACTGGAAATTTTGAGAAACTACAATTGTTTCACAAGGTTGCCTGAAATGTTTAGCTCTCTGTTGCCTAAATGTTGTTAAAGACCATAATATGGTACCCAGAGTGAGCCAGCCCTGATCCAGTTTTCACTGGGAAATGTCTTCTCTTCTCTGAAGTTACTAACTAGATACCTGATCTGAAGGAAGATATTTTAGTGCCAGAGCAGAGAGTGGGTTCTCCTTTTCATGTAGAATCTCAACTTTCAGGAGGAATTTTGCTACCCAGTGGAATGCCTCGCCTTGACCGTGGAGGAAGTGATGCATATTCGCCAAGTCCTGGTGAAAGCTGAGCTGGAGAAGTACCAACAGTACAAGGATGTTTACACTGCACTGAAAAAGGGAAAGGTATGGCTGTGTGCCATGAGTGACTGGAAGAGTCATTTACAGCATGTGTGTTCTCAGCAGGTTGCATGTTAGCCAAATGTTCCAGGGCTTCTGGAAGGCTTAAGAGACAAGACACTTCGACTTGAGCAGATGTCTAAAGAGGAGTAAATGGTAAATGGGGGCACAAGACTGTGAACATCTCTGAAAGGGCCAAAGGGAATAAGAATAACACAGCCCTTCACAATCTCAGAGCAGAAGTCAGATAAAGAGTGCATAGCCCAGTCAGTCCCATGGTGTTTCTAGAGCCACACCAACAGCAAGAGGTTCGTTTAGTCATTGTTTACTTACAGACTCACAGTTGTGGTATTGAGAGTGGATTTTATTAGGGAAGTAAGTTGAAGAGTGGGGGAGGCAAAGAATATCACCCAATGCAAGTCCAGGTTTTACCCCAAGTTTCAAGCCACAGTTCCTCAATTAGTCCAGGCTCGGGTTTCAGTTCAACAGTCAAATCCAAATCATACAGCAAGGTTTCCCTCAGAGCAAGTATAAGTTGGCTTCTCTTTCAAGATCAGCAAACATCTTTAACTGTGGCCTTTATCTCAGGGCTACTCTGCTTACACCCTGCCACAGTTTCTCCACTGCAATGGCACAATCTCTCCACCATCACCAGTGTCTAGCTTTCACTTAGCTCTTGCTCCAGTCTCCCTCAGGTAGCACTCTTTCTCTTGTCCTAGTCCTTCAGCTGTTAATGATTTGCAGAACCATGTCTCTGCAGTTAAGGTAGCTGGATAACAGAGGGGACTAACTGGAATGGCTAAAAAAAGCCAACTTTTAGTCTAACACCACAGCAGAAAGTCCCTGTTTCTGCTTTGCTCAAAAGAGGAAGTATTTTTGTTCCTCTTTTAGGGGGAGAAAAAAATCTATGGAAGGTGTAAAGACAAACATTATAAGTAACAGTAGAGAGTTGGACAGTGAATAGGGTTGATATAAAGAGAATTGATGCCTTTGAGCTGTGGTGCTGGAGAAGAGTGTTGAATATACCATGGACTGCTAGGAGAACAAACAGGTTTGTCCTGGAGAGGGTGAAGCCAGAATGCTCCTTTGAGTCAAGATTCTGAAGCTTCGTCTGACATATTTTGGGCATGTTGCAAGGAGGGACTAGCCCTTGGAGAGGGACATCATGTTTGGCAGAGTGGAGGGGTGGCGAAGGAGAGGAAGACCTTCGATGAGATGGATCGATTCTGTGACTAGAGTGGTGGGAATAAGTGTGTTTGAGATGGCTAGGTTGGCACAGGATAGAACAGCATTTAGAGCTCTTGTACATAGGGTCGCTATGAGTCGCAAGCGACTCGATGGCACATAACAACAACATACCTTCATAAAGCATGTCTACATTTAATCATATTCTTTTAAGAGATGTCTTTTAAAACAAAGTCTGAGAAGCAGAGGCAGATTTTCCACAACCTTCTTTCAGTTTCTCTAGAATGGTGAAACACTTGAGACCAGAGGCCTGTTTGAGTGAATGTTAACATCCTCAGCAAGGTACAAATGTCAAAAGATAATTCTTGGATTCTATTTATTGTTGCTTCTGTTAGCATGGCTCCTGCCATCCACTCATGACAACCCATGTGACAAGATGGTACTGGCTTTTCTAGACTGTAGTCTACAGCAGCAAACCACCAGGTCCTAATCTTGTAGAGCTTCCAGGTGGATCCAAACTGCTAACTTCTGAGGCAGCAGCTGATCCTGTCTCTGCTAACTTTAGAAGTAGACTTTTAATTATACACAGAGCCAAACATAAAAAAAAAAATTCTCATTTTTCTTCTTTATCTACTAAATCACACCAGTATATAAATGTAAAGTTTATCCACGTATATTAATTAACTATTGATAATTTTTTAAATCTCTTTTAAAATATGCCTTTTTTTAGCTCTGTTTTTGTTGCCGAACCAGGAGATTTTCTTTCTTCACCTGGTCTTACACCTGCCAGTTCTGTAAGAGGTAAGCTATTTTGTCAGTGATTGAAAGATACTTTTAACATTAATGAAGGAAATATCAATTACTTTAATTTTGTTCATCAGTTTTCTACACAAGAGCAAAATTAGAAATGGCCCATTCTGTTATATTGTGCTGTCTTTGTGTAGGCTTTTATTGTTGTTGTTGTTGTTGTGTACCATCAAGTAGGAACCAACCCATAGTTGACCCTCTGGTAGGTTTTCAAAAACAGTAAATCACACAGGGTGGACACTGTCCCACGGAGCAGTTGGTGGATTTGAACCATGTGCCTTGGGATTACAGCAGTTTCTTAACACCAGGCCACAAGCAAAGGTCATTACAAAGACTAAGGAGAAAGAAAGTACCAAAATAGATGTCAAAAGATGGTCTTACTATTGCACTAGAGAGCTGAGAAGCCAAAACAAAGGGAAGATATTAAGAAATTAAGGAGCTGAACAGAAAATTTCAAAGGGCAGCTTGACAAGACAAAGTGTTACAATGAAATGTGCAAAGAGCTTGAGTTAGAAAATCAAAAGGGCCAAATTATCTCAGCATTTCTTAAGCTGAAGGAAGAACAAATTCAAGCCTCAAATTGCAATACTTAAGGATGCTATGGGCAGAATATTGAATGGTCAAGGGAGCATCAGAAGAAGATGGAAGGACACAATTTGATCCATGGAGGAAGGGGTGAATAAAGGAAATGAGAGAGATCCGGTGTATAAAACAGTGTATACAAACTTTGTAAGGAAACTGATATAAAATAAATATTTTCTTTTTTAAGAAAGAAAGGTGACAGTAAAAAGATAACAAAATAGCATATTTTAATACCTATAGTAGACAACAAGCAACAACAACATGGTAGACAAAGAAGACAGGGTTGCTTCAACAAAAGGAGACCAAAATAAAAGGCAGCACACTTGTGGAGATGACAACTCTATCCGCACCCCAAACCCTTCTCTCTGAGCCACCTCACAACTCTGGGCCAGTTCAATGCAGTCTATTCTCTAAACCTGGAACTCTTACAAGCCATTGTTTGTTTCCCAGTAGGCCTTAGAAAAAGCACCTGTCTTGGCTTTCCCAGATGTTATTGCGCTTTGTTTCCTGGGCAGTGTGTGCGAGTAGCTGAATTTGGAATGGGTCATAGCTGTAGGTGTTCCCCAAGGAGAGTGCAAAGGTATTCCTAGGGACAGAGAATGTCAACACAAGAAAGGTCCAGGTCCCAGGAGAGAAATCGAAGGAGGAGCTGCTCGTGACCACCACGAAGATGATGATCCAGATCTCCAAGACTACATAGATCTACATCCCCTTACCCTTCTCGATTTAAAGAAGACATGAGGAAAAGAAAGAACGGCAGATTACCAAGGAGAACTTGGAGGGTGAAAACCGAGGAAGAAATAGAAATGATTAAGTTAATTCAGTTTGACTCCCCAAAATTGTTTCTTTCCAGGGGAAGAAGGTGAATGGCTCTGTAAATGCCTATGCCATAAATGTATCTCAGAAGAGGACGTATAGGCAGTATATAAATAGAAAAGGTGGATTCAACAGATCCTTGGACTTCATTGCATGAGAATTGAAGTATTGAAGAATTATTTATTTCCCCCTCCCCTTCTTGGTCAAAAGCATGGATTTTGTATTTTTTATTTGATAGGCATCAAAACTAGGATCTTTGTTCTTGCTCCTTATAACGAAATATCATTTGGGGCAATCACCAACCCCATTTTGTTTGCCCTTATTCCTATGGAATCTATGTATGTTTTCTTCTTGAATGCTTGCTAAGACCTTTTTAAAAACATAAAATAATTTGGATATAAGTTAACACCAATAAAGCAATATTTCTATACTTTAAAAAGGAAAGAAGTTGGAAGGAGTACATAGAGTGACTGTACCAAAAAGAACTGGCTGACACAGATGTATTTCATGAACAACTTAATGTTCAAGAGTCATGATGAAGGAGGAAGTTCAGTTTGCTCTGATGGAGTTGGCAAAAAACAAGGCCCCAAGAATTGAGGGAATACCAATTGACGTATTTCAACAAACAGATGAAAGTCTGAAAATGCTCACCAGGCTATGCTAAGAAATCTAGAGGACAACCACGTGGCCAGCTAACTGAAAGAGAACCATATTTATTCCCATTCCAAAAAAGGTGATTCAGCAGAGTGTGGAAATTATCAAATGATATCACTAATAAGACATGCAAGCAAAATCCTGCTGAATATTATCCAAAAGTGACTAAAACAGTACATCAACAGAGAACCAGCAGGATTACGAACTGGGTTTAGAAGAGGCTGTGGCACTGGGGACATCATTGCCAATGTCAGATGGATCTTAGGTGAAAGCAGAGAGTACCAGAGGAGTGTCTATCTTTGTTTCATTGGCTATACAAAGGCATTTGACTGCATGCATCACAACAAATTGTGGCTAAGTTTGAGAAGAATGGGAATCTCAGAACACCTGATTGTGCTCATGCGAAATCTATACTTGGACCAGGAGGCAGTCATCAGAACAGAGCAAGGAAACACTGCATGGTTCAAAAATCAGAAGAGGAATGCATCAGGGATACATCCTGTCTCCATACCTTTTTAGTCAGTGTGCAGATTTTTCGAGAGGCCAGAATTTATGAGGAGGAGTGTGGCGTCAGGCTTGGAGGAAGACTCATCAACAACCTGTGTTAAGCAGATGACACAGTTTTGCTTTATGAAACTGAGGAGGACCTGAAGCATCTGCTGCAGAGAGTCAAGGACTATAGTTTGCAATATAGATTGAAGCTCAACATAAAGGAAATGAAGACTCTTGCCACTGTGCCAGTTGGCAGCTTCATGATAGATGAAGAAGAGATTATGAGGATTGTTAACAATTTCAGCTTGCTCAGTTCCACAGTCAACACTCTTGGCACCAGTAATCGGGAAATCAAAAGCAGGATTTCATTTCAAATCTGCTGTCAGGGACCTCTCCAGAATTCTGAAGAGCAAGAATGTCAGTCTAGAGATTAAGGTGCATTTGATCCAGGCCATTGTCTTCACAATCACTTGCTATGCATCTGACAGCAGGACAGTGATCAAGGATGACAGAAGAAGAATTGATGCCTTTGAATTGTGGAGAAGAGTACTGAACAAAAAGAGGATAAGTAGGTCTGTCCTGGAGAGAGTGAAACCAAGCTGCTCATTGGAAGCAAAGATTTTGAGACTCCATCTCATACATTTTGGGTATGTAAACAGGAATGACAAGTCTTTGGAGAAGGATTGATGCTTGGAAGGGTTGAGGGGCAGTGCAGGAGAAGACCCCAGATGGGATGGATTGAGACAAGAACTGAGATAATGTAAGGAAGTGTGTCAGAGACAGTAAGATTGACTCAGGATTCAGAGCTATTGTACATAGAGTTGCTATGAGTTGTAGTTGACTCAAAGGCACATAACAACATCATCTTTGTCAGCTAGAAATAGTACCTTCTTCAAAGATGGTACCAAACAATATAAGTTATTTGTTTTACTTAAGCAAGGTTATTTATAATAACTCATATTGGAACGTGGAAGGAGGAGTGGCATCCACTTCCATAATAGCTTGCCTCCGGAAACCCTGTGAACCTGGAGAGAGGATGAAAGGCACCGAAGCATTGAGGACTCTCCTTCATAGAGTCGCTGTGAGTTGCCTGTGACTTGACGGCACTTAACAACAACAACAACATATTAGAACAGGAAAAAATTAAATTATCATAGACAAACAAGGTTTCAGAGTTGGCCTTTCATAGGAGACACTGGAAGAGTGAAATTTTGTAGACTGATTGTTGTATTCAGTTGTGGTTGTGGAAATTCACAGCAATAGTGTGTTGTCATCATAACAAGTAATACCTTTGATTTTGTGTGCAGGCCAGTATGCTCACAGTGCTGCAAAAAGGTAAGATAAGCTTTACTTAATTACAGTTTTTGTTACTTTTAGTGTTTCTACATCTTTAAAAGTAATTGTAATTATCATTTTTATTTTGTTATGGTAGATGAGGCTACCATCCAAGCCATATTCTACTCTTCCTATACTTTCTTTGGGACCTTCTGCCTTGCAAAGAGGAGAAAGCTTCATGAGACCAGAAAAACCTTCCACCAGCCACCACAGGCCACTTCGGAGTCTTGCCAGGTGAGCAGAGGATGTAAGTCTTCAAAGTTTCCCATATAAAAGGGCACCATTCCTTTTAAGGTCTGTGGTCAGAAGTTATATTTTTGTTTTGAGGGTGGTTTGGGGTGATTAGTTGGCTTTAATATAGTTAACTTTGATGTACAAAAAAGTATTCAAAACTCACCCAAAGTGTTTTGTCAAGGGACAGTAGATAACTATTTGAATCTTACTACTACTGCAATCTCATACTGCAGTACTGTCTTTTTTTTGGCACTTCAGAAGTGACTGTTTTATTGTGTCCTTTGAATTAATCTTTAAATTTAACCTTCTTTTCAATGAAGTTTTACAAATTTTAATAGTCTAGCCATTTCTTTACTCTTTCTCTAAATTTGAAAGTAAATCTATTTCATTTGGTGCTTATAATACACTGGTAGGGTTGGCTTACTATTATGATGGCAGAAATAAAGCTTTATACCAAGAGCTGGTAATTGAAAAGAAATAGATTGTTGAGTATCATTTCACTTTTGCATAATGCAAGGCAGGATCCATGTTGATCATTGAGGAAATGGGCAAAGGTCCACTCGGTCCACAAGATGCTAGGGGAGAAAGAGGCTTTTTCATATCGCCACCATCCTGAGTATGGTGAGCATTGCTGCTCCTTGGTTGGATACCTCGATAGACAATGAAAGGAGGCAGGCATGAGAACAGCAAACCATGTGTGGCCCAGAGTACTACCCACACACTCTGCTTGGAGTGGGAACTGTTCCATTTGGTTATGAGTTCTCCTCAGGGACTTGGGACCATCAACATGGTTTATTCTGCTCTTCTTTATTGGCATTCTCACCCCATTTTCTTCTTCTGTATTAATAGCAACATTCCTGGCTGTTTTATTATTATATTGATGACAATACCAATTGACATGTTTTGGAAACAGATGCAGCCCTAGATATGCTCACCAAGCTATGCCAGAAAATTTGGAGGGCAGCTACTTTGCCAACTGTTTGAAAGAATGGTTCCCATTCCCAAAAAATCAGGATGTTGACATTACCAAACAATATCAATATCACACACAAGCAAAATCCTACTGAAGATTATTGAAAAATGGCTAAAACAGTACATTGATAGAGAACTGCAGGAAATTTAAGGCTGGATTTAGAAGAAGTTGTGGCACAAGGAATATCATTGCTGATGTCAGATGGATTTTGACTGAAAGCAAATATTACCAGAAGAATTTCTATTTGTATTTCATTGACTATGCAAAGACTTTTGACTATATGGATCAAAACAAATGATGTTGAGAAGAATGGGATTCTTATAACACTTAATTATGCTCATGCAAAACTTATACCTAGACCTAGAGGCTGGTGTATGAACAGAGCCAGAGAGATCACTACATGATTTAAAATTAACCTCTCCCCCTATTTATTCAGTCTGTATGCTGAGCAAATAATTCAAGAAGCTGGACTTTATAAGGAAAACTAGGTAATCAGGATCAGAAGCAGACTCATCAGTAGCCTACGTTATGCGGAAGACACAAACTTGCCTGCTGAAAGTTAGGAGATCTTAAAACACTTGCTGCAGAGGATCAGACTACAGCCTTCAATATGGATTACATTTCTACATCAAGAAAACCAAAATCTTCACAACTGGGCCAGTAGGCAACATCATGATAGGTGGAGAACAGAGAGGAATTGTCACTTATTGTGCTTTTCTTGGATCTACAATCAACCTCTTTGGCACTGCTAGCCAGGAAATCAAAAGATATATTGCACTGGTAAAGTCTACTGTCAGGGACCTCTCCATAGTGCCCAAGAGCAGTGATGTCAGTTTGAAGACCAAGGCGCACCTGATGCAAGCCATAATCTTTTCAGTACTTGCTATGAAGCTGAAAATTGGACAATGAGTAAGGAGAAGAGTCAGTCTCTTTGAGCTGTGTTGTTGGAGAAGAGAATTGAATTAGCCCATTGACGCAAAAAGGACAAACAAATTGATTTTAGAAAAGGAGCCACCAGGGTGCTCCTTTGAGGCAAGAGTAGTGAAACTTTGTTTCACATACTTTGGACATGTTGTTAGGAGAAGCTAACCTTGAGGAGAGACATCATGCTTGGAAAGGTAGAGGGTCAACAAAGAACCCTTAATTAGATGGATTGACACAGTGACTGTAATGGTGGACTTGAGTATGTCAGAGATGGTTAGGATGGCACAGGTAGGGCAGGGTTCAGATCCATTGTTCATAGGGTCACTGTGAGTCATACGTGACTAGGCAGCATTTTAATAACATTGTTACTGACATAATTAACTTTGGTTCTTAGAATACAGACAACCGGGAGTGGAGCGAGAGGGTGCTCCCCCGGGGAGGTGTGAGCCCTCATCCTTGGCCCCCAGCCCATCTGCAGGACCCTGGCTTCTACCCCCACCCCCCCCCAGACGCCACAGAGAGATGAGCAGCAACAAAGAGCAGCGTTCAGCAGTGTTCGTGATCCTCTTTGCCCTCATCACCATCCTCATCCTCTACAGCTCCAACAGTGCCAATGAGGTCTTCCATTATGGCTCCCTGCGGGGTCGCTTCCGACGCCCCATCAACCTCAAAAAGTGGAGCATCACTGATGGCTACATCCCTCTCCTTGGCAACAAGACGCTACCTTCTCGGTGCCACCAGTGTGTGATTGTCACCAGCTCCAGCCACCTGCTGGGCACCAAGCTGGGCCCTGAGATTGAGCGGGCTGAGTGCACCATCCGTATGAACGACGCACCCACCACAGGTTACTCAGCGGATGTGGGCAACAAGACCACCTTCCGCGTGGTTGCCCATTCCAGTGTATTTAGCGTTCTCCGGAGGCCCCAAGAGTTTGTCAACCGGACCCCTGAAACCGTATTCATCTTCTGGGGCCCCCCAGGCAAGATGCAGAAGCCCCAGGGCAGCCTTGTGCGAGTCATCCAGCGGGCTGGCCAGGCGTTCCCCAACATGGAGGCCTACGCCGTCTCTCCTGCCCACATGCACCAATTTGACGACCTCTCCGGGGTGAGACGGGCAAGGACAGGGAGAAGTCTCATTCGTGGTTGAGCACAGGCTGGTTCACCATGGTGATTGCAGTGGAATTGTGTGACCACGTGCACGTGTATGGCATGGTCCCCCCTTACTACTGTAGCCAGCGACCCTATCTGAAGCGCATGCCCTACCACTACTATGAGCCCAAGGGGCCGGACGAGTGTGTCACCTACATCCAGAACGAACACAGCCGCAAGGGCAACCACCACCGGTTCATCACTGAGAAGAAAGTGTTCTCATCCTGGGCCCAGCTGTATGGCATCACCTTCTCCCACCCCTCCTGGACTTAGGTCACCCGGCCCATGGAAACTTCACGAGAGACACAGGAGAAGCGGCTCTCAGCTCTGCCACTCAACCTCAGAGCATCTCCTGGCCAGTCAAGACTGGCTGGAGTGTTTCCTGGCCAATCAGGGCCTAGAAGATGATATATCCTCCAGCCAATCAGGGCCTGGTTATATATCTTGGCCAATCAGGGATGTGGGATTCTATGTGGCTAATCAGGGGTGTTGGGATATATTTCTGTCCAGTCAGGGTTTGAGCATAGTCAATCAGGGTATGGAACTGTCTCTGAATCAATCTGAGGCCAAGGAAGTGTCCTTTCCCATGAGGCTTTGGTTCAGAGCCCCAGAAATGAACTCCAGATCACTCCTCACTTTAGTGGGAATTGGGGTCTTATCATAAGAAACTAGAAACTTTGTGTGACTCCATTACCTCTCAGTGCCAGAAAAAGACCGTTATGTGGTGGTGGAAACTGTCTGGAGGTGAACCAGAGAATTTTTGGAGGCAATGAGAAGACCCAGGAGGTAGAAGTCTAGAATTTGGGTCCAGACTCTGCCAAGTGACCTGGGGCAAATCTCTCCTCATCTCTGGGGACCCTTCAGGTTCAGAAACCCTTTCTTTACCTCCGCTACTGACCTGACCCTTGGGTCTGTCCTTCTTAAGATAGGACCCCCTCAAGCTACCAGCTTTTGCTGGGAGGCTCAGACCACTGGGTGTTTGGGGTTCCCTGTACAAGTCCTTTTAAAAAACTTTAATGTATTTTTGTGCAATGTCCCCCCAGTTTGGGGATTAACAGGAATGGGACAAACCTTCAGTTATTTTCCTAGTCTTCTCAACTCACTAACTTTAGCTTAGCTCTTAAAGGGCCATCCATTTCACCATCTAGCATTAAGTACTTCCACTTGTTGGAGGAGCCTGGCCTTGTCCCTTGGGCTGAGGAAGGGGTGGGATCCCAGTTAGACTTGAGTTTCCTGTGGCTCTTTTGTTTCGAGCCACCATGGCTGCTGGGATGGCTGGAGGCGGCTGGGAACCCTGTTGCCTGTGTTCTGTCCCCTTGCTTTAGATGGCACTTTATTGCTGAGCCTCAATCGATTTGCCCCTGCTCCTCCAGATCCTGAGAGGGAAGACTCAGAGGGCTTCCTGGAGGAAGTTGTAAAGATGAAGGGGTCAGACAGAGGTGGAGGCCAGCAGGCAGCCGATTGCACATTGGGGTGAGGGGCTGGTGATGGCCCCAGACTTGATTTTGTAATGGTTTGTACAGGAATAAATGTACCTAAGCTCTAAAAAAAAAAGAATACAGACAACCAACCACAAAAATACAAAGAATTGTTGGGGAATGGAGATGTATTAGGTGAATAGATGAATGCCAGGAAAATTAATCAGAAGAATGAATGGAACCTTCTAAGAATCAAATCCCTATGCACATCAAAAACTTTTCCAGTAGGGTAAAATGGAAAACCACAGACAAAAAATATTTGCCAATGACCTATCTAATGAGGGACTTATATCTAAAAATTATAGAATACTCCAGCATCTCAACAAGAAAAAGGTAAACAGCTCAATTGCAAAATGGGCACAAGATATGAATGGATACTTCACCAAAAAAGAAATTCAAATGACAAATACACACATGTCAAAATATTTAAAATTTCTAGCTGTCAGAGAGATATAAATCAGATATTTTCTCACCCCAGCAACAATAGCAAAATTAAACAGAGCAGCAAACAACAAATGTTTGCAAGGTTGTAGAGCGATTAGAACTTTTATTCGCTGATGGTGGGAATGTAAAATGGTACAGCCACTATGGAAGACAAGTCTGGCATTTTCCCCAAAAGCTGGAAATAAAAATACCATTTGACCCACCAGTTCCACTACAGGAAATATACTCTAAAGAAACCAGAGCTGCAGTGCAAACAGATGTATGCACACCCATATTTATTGCTGCATTATTCACAATGGCAAAGAGATGGAAGCAGCCCAAAAGCTTGTCAACAGACAGATAGAAAAACTTTGGTACATCCACACAATGGAATATTAGACAGCATTGAAAAACAGCTTGTAAAACATTACACAACTTGGAAAAGCCTGGGAGACATTATGCTGAGTGAAATAGCTCAGTCACAAAAGGACAAATACTGTATGACCCCCCCCCCTTTTATAAAATAAGGCTGACATAGGGGTTTAGGGAAGAACCAGAAAAGAGTAGATAGATAATGAACACTTCATTGGAACAGATGAGGGGAAGGACTATCTGAAAGGAAGATATGATTAGGCATTATATGTGTTATAGTTAACAATTTAGAACAAGAGGTGCATTACAAAGTAGACTAGGGGAGATGAATGAGGGGGATGAAAGGAAAACATGCAATATTTAATTAATGAAAACAGCGTTTCTGTGTTAAAATCACAATAAAAAAAGAAAAAATCTATCTTCAATTTCCTGTAGTCTGGCTTGCTATCTGTGTTACCTGATGTTTATTGATCCTAACATTGGATCCCTGGGTCATTAAGGAGAGAACTTAAAGTACCTTCTGAGAAACCAATAGAACATTAGCAATATGTACTTCATTTCATTTGAGTCTGCATGGTTTAAAATTAAGAAGGGAGTGTGTCAGGATTGTGTTTTTTCCATACCTACTCAATCTGTTTACTGAGAAAATTATTTAAGAAACTGGACTCTATGAAGACGAATGTGGCATCAGGATTGGAGGAAGACTCATCTATAACCTGTGTTATGCCGATGACACAACCTTACTTGCTAAAAGTGAGGACTTGAATTCTTGTTGCAGAAGATCAAGGAATATAGCCTTCAATATGGATTATATCTCAGTGTAAAGAAGACAGAAATTCTTACCACTGGATCAATAGGCAACATCATAGTGGATGGAGAAGAGATTGAAATTGTCAACAACTTCATCCTGCTTGGATCCACAGTTAACTCCCTTGCTACCAGCACTCAGGAAATAAGGAGACATATTGCACTGAGTAAGTCTACAGTTAGGAACCTCTCCAATTTAGTGAGGAGTAATATGTCAATTTGACGACTAAGGTTTATCTGATTCAGGCCATGGTCTTTCTGATCAATTGCTATACATCTGAGAGCTGGACAGTAAATAGGGATGACAGAAGAAGAATTGATGCTTTTGAGCTGTGATGTTGGAGAAGAGCCCTGAACACTACGTTGATGGCCAAGAGGACAGCTATGTCTTGGAAAAGGTGCAGCCATCGTGCTCTTTGGAGGCAAGAATGATGAGAGACTAGTCCTTGGAGAGGGACATGATGCTTGGAAGAGTGGAGGGTCAGTGAAGGAGAGGAAGATCTTCAACCAAAGAGGATTGACACGGTGACTGCTGCAATGGGTTCTTGTGTGTAAGGAAAGATGAAGATGGCACAGGATAGGACAGGGTTCAAATTGCACTTGACTCAACAGCACCTAACAACGACAATAACTTCAGTTAGTGAAATCCAGCTGATTGTGTATGTGTGTATAATATTTTGTGTATATATAGTAATAAGGGGATTGTACAACCTTATTTTCTGAGAGTGAATAGGACTTGCCACACAAAAGTAAAGACTAAGGCCTTTAATATGGATTACATCTCAACATCAGAACAAAAATCCTCATCATGATAGATTGAGGTTGTCAACAATTTCGGTATACTTGAATCCACAAACAACACTGATGATAATACCAGTTGAGAAATCAAAAGGTGTGTTGTATTGGGGAAATTAGCTTTTAAAGACCTCGTCAAAGCAAGAATGTCACTTGAAAAACTAACATGAATCTCATCCAAGCTTCACTGTGTTTTCCATTGCTTCTTATGCGTCTGAAAGTTGGACAGTAAATAAGGATGACAAAAGAAGAATCAATGCCTTTGAACTGTGGTATTGGAGAAGACTACTGTATATTCTCTAGACTGATAAAAGAACAAACAATTCTGTCTTAGAGGAAATGCAACCAGAGTTTTCCTCAGAGGCAAGGCAACTTTATCTCACATACTTTCAGCATATTGTGAGAAGGGGCTGGTCTTTGGAAAAAGATATCATGCTGGGAAAGAGGGAAGATCAGAGAAAGACAGAAAGACTCTCAGCAAGATGAACTGACATAGTGACTGTAACAGTAAGCTCCAGTATATCAGAGATGGTGAGAATGGCACAGAACAGGGCCAGTTTGGGGTGTTTTTTTGTGTGGTTTTTTTTTTCTTGTTAGGTTGCCCATTGGCCCAGTGGTGAGGATCTTTGTTTCCTTGATGTTGAACTTCAGTCTATCTTGAAGGCTGCAGTCTTTGACCTTTTACAGCAAACATTTCAGGTTGTCCTCATCCAGGCCATGATCTTCACAATTATTTGCTATATATCAGAGAGCTGCACAATGAAGAAGAATCAATGCCTTAGAGTTGTGGTGCTGGAGAAGGGTATTGAATATACAATGGACTCCTAGGAGAACAAACAGGTTTGTCCTGGAGAGGGTAAAACTAGGCTGCAAGGAATTTGAAGCTTCATCTGACATGCTTTGGGCATGTTGCAAGGGGGGACCAGTCCTTGGACAAGGACATCACGCTTGGGAGGGTGCAGGGACAGGGCAAGAGAAGAATGTAGATGAGGTGGATTGACTCAGTGACTGGGATAATAGGGATAGGTGTGTCAGAGATAAAGATGTTGGCTCAAGATAAAGCAGAATTCAGAACTGTTTGTACATAGGGCCGCTGTGAGTCACAAGCGACTTGATGGCACATAATAAATAATAATAAACTTAATTGAAGGTTTACAAAGAAATTGGTTTTCCATTCTCTTATCCATACATATTTCCCCTCCCATACCAATCCATAGTACATATCCTATTCTGGATTGGTAATTACAACACACAGTTATGTTTGATTATCCATTCATTTCAGATTGACCTTCCTTTCACCCATTCCAGTGCAGTGTTCATTATTGATTCATTCTTTTCCTTCTCTCCCACACATCCCTACTGCAACACTAATTTTTATGTAGTGATCTTAACATTATTCGTCCTTTTAAGTTATTTCACTCAGCATAATGTTCTTTAAACTCATCTATGTTGTGTAGTGCTTCACAAGTTCTTCATTGTTTTCAGTGCTCCATTGTGTGAATGTACCACACTATCTATTCATTTGTTGATGGACAACTGGGGTGTGCCATCTTTTTCTGAATGATACTGTAGTAAACATTTATGTGCATACATCTGTTTGTGTGTCACCTCTTATCTCTTTAGTATATTCCCAGTAGAAGAAGAGCTTAGTATTTCAAATTGTATTTCAAACAATTTTAAGGAAACACAAGACTACTTTCCATAGTGGTTGTACCATTTTGCTACCAGCAAAGCATGAGAGTTGGAATCTCTCCGTATCCTTGCCAGGATTTGTTTGCTATCCTGTAGAACTTTGCTATTGTTGCTGAGGTGAGATGATACCTCATTGTTGTTTTGATTTGCATCTCTGTAATAGCTAGTGATCTTTAGCATTTCTTCATGTGTTCATTGCCCATCTGAATATCCTCTTTGGTAAATAGTCTTTTCATATCTTACGCCCATTTTGTAATTGGGTTACTTGTCTTTTTCTTATTGAGGTACATTGGAGTATTCTATAAATTTTAGCTATGAGTCCCTTATCAGATATATCATTGCCAGATATTTTTTTAAGTTTGGTTTCCGTCTTAAACCATAAGGCAATCTGTTATTATTAGGGTCACTCTGAGGCGTAGTCAACTCAATGGCATCTAATAAATACAATAATGTATAGATATTTATACATATTTTTATGCTGTTGTTAAAAAAATTCATGAATAAAGATTTTTGTATCATTTTGTTTTTAGTATTTCTGAACCTTGTAGTCAATAAATAATTCTTTGGAGGAAAGACTTAACATAATCATAATTTTTAACCATTCCGTAATGTTTTGACAATAAATGTACTTTTTCCCATACGCTCTTTCTGATATTGCATTGGAACTTAAGTGATGATACTAGGTAATTCTGGTTTGGTTTTGTTTTTTCAGGTTCTCCTCAAAGTCAAAGTCTGTGGATAAATCAGATGAAGAACTACAGTTTCCCAAAGAGTTCATGGAGGACTGGAGCACCACAGAGGTGTGCGTGGACTGCAAAAAGTTCATTTCAGAAATCATCAGCTCAAGCCGCCATAGCCTGGTGTTGGCCAACAAAAGAGCCAGGTTAAAAAGGAAAACGCAGTCTTTCTACATGTCCTCTGCAGGCCCTATGGAATACTGTCCTTCAGAGAGGACTATCAATGAGGTCTGAGATAATTCCACTTGGCTGCTTTGTGCTTCATATCAATCAGAGAGGACTCTGATTCATATCAGTGAGGTATAAGGTCATTCCACTTGGCTGCTTTTGTGCTCCATGTCCGTGTCTGTGTGTGAGAACACTAGCTGTCCCTCTGGTCTGATTTAATAGGCTTGGATTTGCAGCTTACCCAGTTTTTGCAGCATCACTTTGCCCCAAGCCTGAATGCTGTGTTCATTTCCATTTACAGTATGTCTCGGCCTAGCTAGGTGTTGTGTGTGTGTATCTGAAGTCCAGAAACTTTTTCCTTAGTTCAGTTCTTCAAATAATTTTCTAAGGCAGAAAGTTTCTCACATGAGAAATCAACCTAACCAGGTGTCAATCTTAGCACAGTTTATACAGTAAGTCATATTGACACTTACACCTGCCAGTGTTCATGTCTAGTATGTTGTGACCCTGAAAACTTAGAGGTACAATTAGGCTATCTATCACTGCACAGCACAAAGCCCAGGAGGATTACTAACACTACCAAGCCTACTGCTGAATTGTCTTTGCTCTGACGTGAAGAGAAGACCAGGGACATTAGGCCAGCGTGCTAAGTCAGCACTTCTCTGTAGGTTGTACACCACACTTCTGTCTTTATCCTACAGCAATTGATCAGTGCCTCTGATGTGGACAGCAGGTTTCCATATGCTCTCTCAAGTGTATCCTGGTTACCAGTAGTTTATAATGGAGGCCTTAGAATCCCAGTATTGTGGTAACTTCAGGAGGAGGAAAGCTAAGAGCCTGTCAGGAAGGCCCACCGAGGTGCCAGCACAGTGGGACAAACGGGCTGGTGCTCAGACACTTCCCACTATGTCCTGTATATCATGCAGCCATAGTAATGAAATAGCCACAGTTTGGCTAAGGTCTCAAAGTGAAATATATTTATTTTTATAAGTAGATTTTAAAATAAAGAAAAAAAGATTGTCTTGATGTTTTAAAGTTGCAAGAATATCAGTCCACTGACAGGCTTTCCAGGTACTTTTTTATTCCATTTGGGTTTTCAGTGAAGGTACACTTGGAGACATTGTATTCCTGACATCTCTAAGCATGTGTGTGCCCCATGAAATAGGCTATTCTTTGTTATTTTGGTATGCTTAGAAGCAACTAACCAATCAAATTGCCATTAAGGTTTGGAAAATTGGTGAATGCACATGCACGATAATATTTGAAAAACTCTAGTATGCATTTGTAATCAACACCATGATAGTACCATTTAATAAAAGGCATAACAGTAGCATTTCATACCACATCAGAATAGAGGGACTTTTCTATATAAAATTAACAGCAATACCTCAAACTGCTCTGCTAGTACTTTTTAATGGATTGAAATTCTGTAAATGAGTTAAAATTTAATTTAGAAAATTTATTAAAGTCATGCATGCTCATCTGTATTGTATGTCAAGGTGAGTGACCAATGAGCCTATACTGATTATGTAACATTTTATTTAAGGGCTTTAAAAGCATAGTTGGTGAGTCTCATTTATAATAGTTTTCAAAGGACTTTTCAAACTTTATATCCAGATCAGTATGTAAATCTACACACTTTAATGTACTCAAACCTGGGATTCCAGGGAGGGGTCAGAGTGGAGAGGAGATCTATGTCCATAGAACATGCATGTATGATATTGTGCTTTTAAGAACAGTTACTGCTTTACTGTTTTTATTAGAACATCAAAACCTAAATCCTGCTAATGAGAATTCCATTCCCATATGCACAGGAAACATCTAGTATCTTGTACTTCCTCAGGTTTCTACTTTGTAAAATGACTTGGGCACTTTGACCATCTCTTAACAGAATATCCAACTGTAAAATCTTCAGGGGCATAAACAGGGCCTCCAAGTGTATCAAAGAGGTCAGCTGAGTGGGATATCCTCATGGAATACTTTGCAGAACTTCATGGAAGCAAAAGGTACATGGCACACTAAAAACTGTAGAAGTAAAACTTCATCACTTTTTGGTGCCAAAATAAGTTAATCCTCCTGCATCCCTGACATGTACCTTCATGTCATGAAGTCAGTTCTATATTGGTTAATTCTGGAGGCTAATTCTCTATATTAATGAACTTGGTTTTTAAATCTTTATCCTTTAAGAATATCTTTCTAGTCTTATTTGTGAAATAACAAATAAAATTTTTAAAAAGTAAATGTTCCTCTTTATTTTGGTCCTCTGGTATTCAGTATTTACTTCAGATCTAACAACAAAAAATGTTGCTTGCTTGCACTTACTTTTTGGAGTCAAATGTGTCTTGGAACTGTGTGAGCATCAGTGAATGCCTAGCCACATTCCTCTCACTCACACTCTGTCCCTCCAGGCTCCTAAGGCCCCCCACCTCATCAAGCCACCCTAGTGGGAGATTTTTCTCTCCCCCTAATGGTGTAGCATTCTATCACTGTCAAGTATCAAGAAATGCTTGTAAATACTGTATTCTATTAGTATTTGAAAGGCATTCATCTAGTATACAGTGGCAAATAAAAAAGAATAGATACATACATTGACTTAACAATCTTATTAGAGTCAAAATCTTAAGCCTTTTCATTTAACCAGAAGGTTGTTGTATAAGAGTTATAAAAAATGATTTTAAGTTTGAAGACATTTATGTGATTAATACCATGAACCCATACCATACATTTCTTATGGCTGCTATTTTTCTAACTATTAATTAATATAAGACTTGTTTTTAGGTGTCACATAGAAGACATGAAAATTTTTAAATTATGTTGTTATTTGCTAAAGCAAAATACCAGACAACTTTGTACATGTAAACTGTTGAAGACCTGAGGAGGTCTGTACTGGTGGACTTTGTGTGTATAAATTCAAGATACTGCTACTTTTTAGGCAACATGACAGAATCAAGCAATGTCCATTAAAATATTTTATTTTCAGTATCATCTAGAGAAAAATAAAATGGTTTTCCATCATATCTTCTGTGTTGAATTCCTGTTAAAATCCTATACCTTTTAGTAACTAGCTGTTTGAAGTTAACTGGGTGGGGAAGGCAAAATGCTTTTATCATTGGCAATTTAAGGTCATTTTGAGAAATGCAAAATCCTCACATGGAGGCTTAGCGAGTTTTGGTGGCTTAGTGGTGTGGCATTGCATGGCCATCCCATAGGTCAAGTCCACCAGGAGCTACAAGTGAGAAAGACAGGCATTCTCCCATGCTATCTACTGCCTCTAAAAGCCCACTGGAGGGTCGGCTATGCATTGGTTCTGATTTGACAGTACATAACCACAACAACATATAGAGGCTTAACCTAGAATTCCTGCTGGGAATTCCCAAGATGATTCACACTAGGAACATTTCTTTTTATAGCATTTAAGGGCTTAAAATAGAATTCTTAGTGTTAAATACAGAACCAAGATAAGGAGCATTGTTTTTATGTGAACTGAGCAAGGAAGCATGGACCCCTTATCGTAACTTGGATATTACATGACATTGGGTTTGAAGTTCATTTCCTTAGCTAGACAGTTGTTAAGATCTTGCACCGATGCTTCCCTGTCATTCTGTTTACAGTAAGGCATATTTTTGTGTCTAGTTAATAATCCAAATATTCAGTTACTTTCTAAGTTCAATTCAGACTCTTAGATTTCAGAGAGGAGCTCTGGTGGCATAGTCTATAGCAATTGTGCTGCTAATCACACTGCCATGTCCGTGGGTGGTTTAAATCTACCAGCTCCTCAGAGAAAGATGAGCATCTTTTCTCACTAGGGTGCTTGGCCTCAGAAACCTGATGTGGGCTCTCTATGATCCAGAATGTCAGAACTGGCTCCATGGCAGTGAGTTTTGAAATGCTATAGATACAGGAATTTGAATATCATCTGCGAGAAAAGTTTTGGGTAATGCTAATAGTTTATGATTATTTCATTTTCTTAGAAAAGAAAATGTAATTATGTATCATCATAGTCCTGAATTTCCTAATAATGTTTTAGGAATGAACTTGATTACATGTAAAAACTCCAGTCTTGGTATCTCTGAAGAATGTGTGCCAATGTGCACCCACCTGGATAGATACTCATTTTAACACTAATGCAAAGGCATAGATCCTAGTACCAGGTTCTTTTGCCCTTCCTAAGAGTCTAACCTTTGATAAATGTTGATAGTTATTGAAAGACTTCAGGCCTTTTGTTCATAGGGTCGCTATGAGTTGTGCTTGACTCGAAGGCAACAACAAGAGTCTAAAAGTGAGAGCCTCCTTATAAAATTCTGCCTACACTCATTAAATATTCAGATAAAATTATCTGCCTTATAGACTGAGATTACACTGTTCTGCTTATCCCATTGTTTATATAAGATTCAAGATGCCAGAATAGGAAGCTCTAGGCTCCCCTCCTCCCATTGAGAAGTTAATAATATAAGCACAAAACAGCAGTGCTTACTCAGGCAAAACAGAGGTCATGTCAGTGGGCAAAAAAATCTAATAATGTACTACCACAGCCATCCACAATACAGTAAGATAGAAGATGAAGGAAAAAGAAAACCTAGGAAACTGTGGAAAAGGTTGGGGAAAATATAAGTTCTAGAACTTATATTAAAATATCCTGTTCGCAGCGAGGAAATCACATGGAAAAAAAAATAATCGAAGAGCAAAATAACAGAGACTCTCTTTGAGGATGATTAGACATTGAACTTACCTGATAGAGATTTTAAAATCAGTATTTTAAATATGTCCAAAGAGTTAAAGAAGGGGAACACTTGTAGACATCCAAAGATGTTAAACATTAAGGGACCCCTGAATCTATTGAATAAATTTTGAGCCCTCAGCCAAAACAGTCACATAAATCTTTTCTAAACTATTTACCTCAATGATGTCTACTTTTAAAAAAATATCTGCCTATATTTTTATAAAACCAAAGGAAAAGCGTTCTCCCTCTCTGACTCAGATCAGAGGGCAGCAGGTAGGGCGCGGGGACCAGCGTGCATGGGCCATGGTGTGGTGCACCCTATGATGTGTGCACCTGCTCAAGATGT